AGTTAGGTTTGTGCCATATTAACATCACATACCAAAACTTTAATTTTAGAATCTGTATTTAAATAACAAATACTGAAAAATGCCCATTCATAACGTATTTTGTTGTGATAAAAACAAACAAATGATTTTTCCTTTCGCGGTATATTGCGCACTGCTATGTAGATATCGGTAGAGCTCGGAAATGAACTATTTCACAACTCAGTGATAAATAACACGATTATTTCACTACACAGAGCCCTAATAGTGCGATACTAGGTTCGCGCTTGGCCAGGTTTTTTGTTTAAATCAGTTTTTGTCGAGATGGTCCCATATTAATTAGGTGAAGATCTGTTAAGTACCTACTTTCTGAGACGAAACGAGGATACTCTTGAATTAGTACAGTTACAGTACATATATTCTGTTTCGTAATTATAAGAAATATGCATTCCAGCTAGGTGCAAATAATAAAATTTCTCCAAGCATGCCATACATAGTTAGTCGATGCTATTTTGGATTTTTACCTTATAAATGGTTAATAAAAACTTCTTTGTGTGAAATCGTTTTATTGTTTTCCGCGCATATATGCGAGATCGATTTCGATGACAAGATATACAAGGTCTCCCGCCGTAGATTTGTGAACAGACAGCGTAGCTTTCGACTTTCATATGTGCTTGTAAAAGCCTAAACGGAACAAATGAATATTGAATTTTTTGAATTTTAACATCTGTAATAAATGTTTATAATTAAAACTTGGATTTTAATTTTTAATAATAGCTATATCAGGGGCATATCCCCATACCCCCCTGAATTACTTTAAGTTTAATATTGTAATAATGTTTTATTAAAGTTAATAAGCACCAGTCTTGGTAGAATTTAACTTATGTTGAATAAAATTATCTCCGATTGTTCCGAAATTCAAATAGATTATTCTCTCCCTTCAACCCTTTTCTCCAGTATATTTATGTGACCCTATATGCTTTGACCACAGCAAATAACATAACATCGATTAAAAGTATCGTCTAAAGACATCCTACGTCCACCATGTTTGCTCCCCGATTTGTTTATATAGGTACACGCGAAGTACATACTTGTGTCATTTCCATATGATACTTATTCAGAGATCGAAGCATAGAGAAAAGTAATATTCTATGATATTTTTTAGTTTTTTTGGTATGACCAGATAATTGACTGCAAAGTTATCGTGGTTCGTCTTTAACTATTATTGTCGAAACCGCAAAACAACATGAACAAGGTATTTAGATTAAAACTTAATAATTGTCTGTGTAAGAACAAGAACACAATACAACACAACAACAAATAAGGAATGTGGTATTATTATTCTTGATAAAATATACTAAAGAGATATCAACATTAAACTGTATTGGGGTGTGTATGACTTTTATTTTCGATACACCGCTTAAAATACAAGAACCTCTGTTTGGCCAGAATTATAATATATTGGATTGTATAGGGCAGCATTATAACATATTGTACATACATCACTGTAAACACTATTACACGATACGCACTATTTTACCCTAATGTTGTGCTTTCTTGAAACACGAGTAAAGTTCGATTTAAACCAGCATTCACTGTTCTTCCCACGGGACGGAAAGATACTATAAACTTTCCCAGTATATTCTCTGGTGCATTATTTTCTAATTTTATTAGATTTTTCTTATATCGGCTAAAGTACCAAGTACTCTGGAGCAGCTCTGGATCATTGTTGTAGCAGGTACCCAGACTCGAACCTGTTGTTTCAGCTAATCCCATAAGTGTTCTATCGGATTCGAGCTGGCCAGTCCATCGTTGGGATAAATAAATTAATTAATATTTCCAACACTCACACCAATTAGCCTAGCTCCAAAGTAAGCACTATAAGGCTTGTGTTAAGGAATGCTATGGTAACGGATAGAATACATATACTGTACATATATTTATATAGAAATACATATTAAACATCCATGACTGGAGTACAAGTGCTCGTATTCATCATACAAACATCTGCCCCCACCGGGATTCGAACCCGGGATCTCTCAAGTCGGCTACACCATGAAACCTGGCGTACAAACCACTCAGCCACAGAGATCGTCAAAAAGGAATGACGACGCGTAAATACTGGGTCACTATATGAGCAACATGAGGCCGTGCATTATCATACATCAACTGCATATCCTGTCCGATATATCCTGCGTAAGGTATCACATGGTCTACGAGGATTTCAGTAATGTAGCGATGAGAAGTCAATCCACGTATACGGCCCCTCGGTTCAATGAAAACTAACGCTGTATGTGCGGTTAACGAGATGCCACCTGAGATCCTTACAGATCCTCCTCCATAAGCAACAGTTTCCTCGATGCAACACTGAGACTAAAGTTCTCTAGGGTGACTATATACTCTCTGACGTCGATCACATCCATGTAGACTCATTCTGGTCTCATGAGTGAAGAGTAGATTACTCCATTGCTGTAAGGTCCAATCCCTATGATTTGGAGTAAATTCAAGTCGTGCTTGACGGTGGGCTACCGTTAATGCTGGGCCAGTTGCAGCTCTCTTTGGAGTCAGGTTCCGTTCAGCAAGTCTCCTTCTGACGGTATCTGAACTTATGAGCATTTGGCATTCGTCACGCAGACCTTATTGGACTTGAACTACGCTGAGGCGGCGATTTTGCAGAACAGTAAGTTGGATATAACGATCATCTGCTGCTGATGTGGCCTTAGATCTGTTCGTTCATCGTTTCTGGATGGCGATCGAGCGCTCCAGTCTCTAAGTATCGTCTGTAAACTTGTTGCACCGAAGATCAGCTGATTCGAAGTCTTCGAGCAACCTCACGTTGCGCAAGGCTTGCTTGAAGTAGTGCTACTAACTTGAGCTGCTTCCTGAGGTGTCGTATCCATTATTGACCGAAAAAAGTGGCAAAAATAGACGCGTCTGAGCAAACGATAGACAAAAACTAAAGATAGGATAAGAAATATCCGACTACCCTCATTTTAGAAAGAAGGTAATCGCGAACTCTAGTCAAAACAGAGCAAATCGTTATTACAATGTGAGTCAACCGTACTTTAGAATAAATTTATAGTCAGTTTATTCATCATGAAATGCACTTTCCGTAGGTATTACTTTTATAGTTGTGAGTTTTATACTTTTTGAGAAAATCGAATCAGAGTTCCATGAAAGCAGGTGGCCGGGTTTGTTTGCTGTCCAGTGTAGATATTTCTTTGTGGCTATTTACTTTTGAAAATGGAAACCTAAATCAATATACATATTTGACACAGGGGTGAGGTAGTACATATCTACATTTAATAATATATGAACTTGAGATAGCATGACCACAAAAGAAGATAAATTTATGTTGATTTTGTCTTTCTTTGTGTAGTGGTCACTTATTTTCACGGTATAATATTATATTTCCCTCCAAATAATGTGAAAGCTTTTCCAGAATAGTCGTTGTTGCTTACAAAGCAATATTATATTGCCTACACAATATACACGTGGCTACTTGGTATTATATCTTTAATACCTGTGTTGTTAATTACCTAATTGAAGTTTAAATAAAAAAATCGGTCAAGGGCGAGCTGGACTCACTCACAGTGGGTTCCGTAAGCGTGTCCCCCCCTCTAAAAGCTAAACTATTAGTTTGAAAATCCTGAAAAAAATTATGGTAATAGTGTTTTTATGAACTATTAATTAAAATTAAAACGATTAAGATAGATTTGTTAGTTTAAGAGTAATAGTCGTTCAAATTTTGGTTAAAGAAAATTTCTTACCTATTGAAATTTCCTTAGAAGAAGAAGTTATTCTAGAGTAAAACCTTGCATTGCAACAAAATCTAATAAAAAACTACTTTTTAGAAAACACAATAAAATATTACCGAGTAACAAAGGCAACGGCTTCTGAGTCACGCTAACGTTACGTTTTTATAAATAGTATAAAAACAGTTGAAAAAATCGGCGGTTGTACCGCATCTTTCTCTTCTCAGGGGATGATCGCTTCAGATGAAGCTTGTAAGGCCCTTCCGGCCATAAGCATGAACTACTGGATTGTTTTAATCAGAGTCTAACATAATCTTGCAGCCGGCTGAAGGGTATCCATGAGGATTTCACACCCATTTGTAATTTGTAAGCCCCGCCTGGGGGGGAACAAAAAAAAATCGGCGGTTATCATTCGTAATAAAAAAATTTTATATCAAATTGATTTTGAGTTTGAAACGCAGTTTGAGTTTGATTTAGGTATTTGAGTTGAGAAACATAGATTGTTATTAATTTACTAATTTCCGATACAGAAACTAAAGACTCCTGCTCAAATATATTGTGGTAACGACGGGTAAACACGGAACCCTACACTGCGCAAGGCACGACACGCACTTGGCCGGTTTCTTCCTTTTGAGATACAGAACCCTAAAAAGGAGGCAAACTAGCTAATAGGGTTTTCCTGTCGGCACAGAATACATAATACTTAGTATAAGCTGTTGGTAAATAAGTGGCACCATAGCGATCGCTTGCGCTAGAGTTATCACTCACGCATTACTTTCCCTACCCTGTGGATGCCATGCCATGCCATGCCATGAAATCCTTACTCCCTAATAGAAACATGTCATCACCACCACAATACACTAGGTTATTTCACTCTGGCTTTCTGTACGGTAGAGGTTATTTCTGCAGACGTTCGGAACATTTATCTCGTGTCATTTCGAACGAGCAATCTATAAAGGCTTCTTAAATAAATTGTATTTTAGTACTAAAGGGATGTTTTATCAATGCAGCAACTAAAGTATGTCACGCAGTTCACATTTACAACTGTTATATTTTGCATTTTTTCTCATTTGGTTCAAAATTTGGTGGAAAATTGAAGGAAAGGCCTCAAAGGCCTTCCCGCGCGAATCACAGCGCTAGGGAATAGCACCCAACGGACAAAGTGGTTTTTATGACTTCTCATTCACAAACATAATCTTAAAAAATAGTAGGTATTTTTCTCATATGTAAGATAAATAATTGTAAAGTGATTATATGATTTTTCCCCAGGATAAACATTACCTGTGCATCATGGCGTCAGACTCTCCCGACCAAAACCTGACGCAATACTTCAGCCTTTGCAACGACTTCATCCATGCAGCACGGCTTCGAGACGGCAACGTTCTCATCCATTGGTAAGTTTTCTACTCAACATTAGTTAACTTTTGGGCAACTTTCCCAAAACATGCCTTTTACAAAGTCGCTTATCCTACGCTAAAGCTAACTTTACATACTAACAACGCGAAATAGAGCCTTGAAATGTTTGTTTTATACACTTATTGAACTGCAAACGACTGATGAACCTAGTTATATAAGGGATATTGGTATTTTCTAATTTCCGGCATGACATAAGTAAACCTTAGGCAATCTATATCAAATTACCGCTGTGGTAATCTCAAAATATAAATAGGCTGCTTTAAAAAGTTTAGTTGTAGCAAAGTTTGTAAAGTATTAAGCTATATCCATGTTTTATACCACGCTAATTTCCCAGAGAAGTATTTGCACTGGCATTTCTTCCTTAACAGTGTTTGAAAAATGTTTTGTTCTGTTCAAGGTTGGTAGTGTCCTTGATTTTGGTGAAGTCACCAATTTTCAGGATCGCAATCAGAAAAATAATATAAGTAGATGGAAAATATTACAATGATAACTCGTCTTCTTATAGTCTAGCAGGAATGTCGCGCAGCGTGACAGTAGCGGTGGCATACATAATGTCTGTGACTCCACTCACGTGGCGGGAGGCACTGAAGGTGGTGCGAGCAGGCCGCGCCGTCGCCAACCCCAACCTCGGCTTCCAGAGGCAGCTGCAAGAGTTCGAGACCTACAAACTGGTTGAAGTACGTGAAATAATCATTTTTATTTTTCTATACTGTGAATCAGCTGCCCTCAAATACAAGTAAGCTATCTGATGTTAAGGAGTATCGTCGCCCATGGACAGAGGCGGCCTTTCGTGGAACACTCACCATGTTATAGTACTGATGGAACACCATGGAGGGCAGCTCATTCCATAGCTCGTCAGCTGGCATCTACTTAAAATAGGTGTTTCTTAAGTAAAACTGATTACTTTAAAATACATACCTTTCTTTCGAGCAAACAAAGGCAGGATTAATACTTTGTTTACAAAATTAGGTGAAAGCTTTTAGAGGCTGCTTTTATTCTAGTTGATAATAAATGATCTGCCTGGCAGTACAAATTGACCTTCCATGACTTAGCACATCAGAGTTTAAAAAATAACACAAACAACAACAATAACATCTTTTTATGCTTCTGAATATAAGATGGTCCAGTAATAGAGCTCTTTATATAGTATAATTGTTAATTAGTAATCAACCTTTTTTGTCGATTTCTGTGTAAGTGATGATTTTCCCATGCTTTAAAGGCGCAATTACACTTGGTCGTTAGCCGGTATTCGAGTACACGAAAGACATGCATGCGATGCAATAATTGATTGCACTGTTAGACTCACGTTCGGGTACAGGAACATAGAAAACGTGTGCATGGTGCACACGCGTTCTAGTTAGAAACAGGTACGTTTGTACAATGATGCCGGATTGGGGGAAGCAAAACGAATACAGGCGTACTCGACTCCGTTAATTTACAATTAGTCGTTTGTCCGAATTCCATAGGCAACCATATACGAGCCAATGACCAAGTGTAATTGCGCCATTAAATTAGTAGTTTATGTGACGCGTTAAAAAACGTTGTAATTGTTATTCTATATCAATCTTGATTAGGAAAGGAGAAGACTGAAGGAGCGGTACCCGTCCTTAGCACTAGCCGACCGGGACCTCACGGAATGCCGCGCGATGCTGGACTCGTACCAGACCATGCTCAGTGAGCGCACCATCTGCGAGGGGAAGTGTGCGATGGGCAGGCAGTGCCCCACTGGTAACGTGCTAACTATCCGTGGGGGCGGCAAGCGTAACACTAAACAAAACACTAATGTGGAACGTTCTTGGAACCTAGAAAGAGGTAGGAACGAATTGGAGCGAGCGTTAAGTATCTAACGATTTACAAAAAACCTCCGTATACTAGGCTCGCATGACTTGGGTAGGATATTGGACCCTGAAATATTGGTTTTCATCTTTGAACACCCATAGAATTCTATATTGTTTTTTTTTATTCTTGAATAGATAGTTTTTCGGTTAACACCACTGCATAACATACTATTTCGAGGGACGGTACACAAGACTTAAAATACTGGCCTGGTGGTATTCACCGAAAGAAGAATTTCTATTCTTTTAGGATCCCATGAGAGTTAAAAACAAATTAAACAATAAATTGCTCAGAATCCCATTTGAATCAAGTCCTGGGAGATTAGTGTCCGCAGAGATGTTACAGAAGGTTGGAGCTTAATAGAAATAACAAAACTTATTTAAGCGACCACTTGAAAAAATATAATGCATCTGATATAGTAGTATTGTTCATAACATTGTTCTATAGTGTTTGTTGCTATCTGTAGAGCTCCAGGGGGTAATAATTGGCGTAAGAGTAAGCAATACTCCGTCTAGGGGTTTAGAGCTTACGTTTGTGAGACTACGACCTAATCTCACAAATGTCTATAAATTTTATAGTCTCCGTGAGCTTGCAAACCCTTACATAGTTTTTTTTAATGGCAAAATGAACTTTTTTCATTGCATCTTTGCCAGATTCGAATTGTATAAAATTAGCAAAACTCTGAACAACTAAAGAAAATTTGAATTCCGTACTTAATTTTTGTATACGAATATGATAAATGTACTGTTCTTGTAAGATTACTGAAAGTGCTTAGTTAGGATACTTTTCTCGAAAATGTCGGAAAACAACAAATTCTTATTAGAGTCATGAAACTACCTCTTGTGATATTTGTCAGAATTCGAAAAATCTTATTGAGTGTTACGCTTGGTGCAGTGCCCACTGTGTTGTGATATAACATTGTCGATGTGACGTGAGTAGGAATTGAAAGCAGTGCATGATTGATTCTTGCCAGGGAGTGAAACCACCGCTGAAGGTCCTCGTGAGAAGCCACAAGTCGGAACAGAACGGTAAATACTCAAATTAATGGAAAATATTATTTGTCTTTATTATGAAAAGTTAATAGGAAAAATAGAAAACGACGCCATTTATTATAAAACCGACGGAAGGATTCCCATGTCGAACATTAGAACTGAAATAGTAAAAAATAATTTCATCTGTCTACACAGCGGCTTAATGAAGTTTTTTATTTGTCTTTACGATAATTTTTCGTAGTTTTAGAATTGATTTTTGGCACATGGCTACCATCAGAGTTACCTATCACAGGATATCCAGTATCTTCAGGCACTGCAGGATATTTATGTACGTATTTTACTATACTTTTATTCTTATTCCTTTGTTTCATAATGGTATAAATAAATAACGCTTATGTGAGTTTTTGAAGTGAAATTTCATCGCACATTTTCTTTCTCTCTTTCTCTTAAAGCTAGTAAAATAAATATGTATATGTACATACATGTATATATTGTATATATACATACAGATGGAGCTAAAGAAGTTTCACTTCAGTCGTGTGGTCATAAGTACACTCGTTTTTTTTAAATGTTTTAACGTTATTGAATGTTGGAAGCACCTTTGTATATATAAAGCTTATATCAGTTTTTTTTAAATGTTTAATGTAAGCACCTATACCGCTAATGGCACCTTATTTCATGGTAGGTACAATGTTATGAATTATGTTATGTGTGTCTATTTAGCACTTAACGAATTAGTTTGATGATGAAGTAATTATTCACATGTTATTTTCAACGCTCGGGCGTCAATTCCATTTTACGTTTTGTTTAAATTGACTATGTATATCGGATATTTGTTGAATGTGATATAAAATATGACTTATGTTAAATTAAATATTTATTATATTTATCATTATCTTCTATTGAAAAGTTAACTTGTACAATATACTTACATATAAAGCCGAAAATACGTAGCGCTAAATGCGTTATAAATATATTTAAATGCTTCTATTATTACGTTTAATTTCCATAAGTTATGTATGTATTTGATAATCAATAAGCGTTATGTAAACTTCTTGACTTTTTTATAGTAATAAGCTTAGGTTTTGGTAATACACTTTCTTGTTTACTGATTTTTTAGGTTAAAAAGTTAGCAAACAAGCATATGGCTCGATGGTAAGCTTCCACCAGAGCCATAGACGCTTGCGATGCAAAAAGTATCACTCACACTGTTGCCTAACCTGACCCATTCCTCTACCCCGTGGAGACCTTTTTTTTTGGACGCAGAAAAAACCTCTATTTACAGACGACGGCGCCTTTAATAGGCACACCGCCGAACGGACCTCACACCTGGCTCCCTTAAGCCTTACAGGCCCCCGCAGTGACTGCCCACTGAGGACCCCGTAACTCTCACTGGCACTTTACGGCATAATATCCGCTAAAAAACCCTGCGAATACCCTCTAAGCTGCTAAGTGCGAAATCGCGGGATCCCCGTTTAGGGATTCTGCCGCGTCCCGCTTCCCCGTGGAGCCGTGAAACCTTACCTAAACTAGCTTAGAAATAAATAAAATTACAGCAGTTGTTGACTCTCCAGTGTAAATGGAGAAGGCGTAAGGGAAGTTTCGGAAAACTTTTCTCACTCACTAATTTTATTTGTGGGATTATTGATCTAACAAAATATTACCTACTTACCTACTCTACACTTTTAATGCTTGCGTTCGTGACAAACGCTACTAAAAATGTCTGGGGTGTAATTTTAGAGACTGACATAGGCGAAAGGTATTATACAGAATTATATGAATATGATCCAATTATAACACAGACAAATAATTATAATTTGCTATATCTGGAACAAAACATTGTTGTTTACCTTACTATGTTTTATGGAATTAGCCACTTCGGAAACTAAAAATTTATGGAACGCGAAAATCGTCATTATCTTTCCTAAGATCCTTACCGTTTTTCTGACAAAACATACCACAGGAAACCATAGCTGCAATATGTATGCTTTCATATAAAAACATAACACTGCTTCTGACACTATTGTGTAATAAAAAAAAAGTAAGCTCGCCAAATATAGTCACCAATTCGAAATACCAGGGGTTATTTCTTGAATCACTGGATGCCTTTTTCTAAAATGTTTTTGTTTGTCGTATAAAGACGATTATATTATTATTAACGCATGGATCTCCTGACACAAGCTATTTAAGCTTAAAATTAGATGCTGGTCATTAGTTTAAGATCACATTATTGTTTTAGCCAATAAAAAAATATTTTTATATTATTATTATTATGAATCGGCAAGTTATGTGAATTTCCTTTTAAAAGGTTTATTTTATGAAAAGTTGAACTTCACTTAGGAGTTCCTAATATTATGCTAAAGGCGAAAATGATTTCTGTAAATGGAATATCGTAAGTTACCGAAATAATAAAAGGAACTGCTTCGCGCGTCATTGGATAATAAGATCGATGATTATTGTTGGTGAAAAAGTATATTAGGTCTACGTGCTGACACACCGAGCCTCGTGACAGTTATTAATACTCAGACGTTGGTGTGAATACTCTGATATTAGGCTCACATTCCCGAGCTTTTTCACGAAGTCAGTCGGTGACTGAGTAAATCATGCCAGAATAGTACAACACTATTAACACTATTAAAATTTCAACGAACTTTAACAGCAAAATCATATTTCAGAGCTTAGTCGTAAATAATATTTTTCTTTTGTTTTCTACTAAACTAAAAGGGGCTATGTAAGCCCCCAAAAACTCATAAATGTTTAGAATAAATTGCTGCGAAGATTTATTTAAATTTATGAATAAACGAACTCTATAATAATTAACTCAGGTATGAAGATTTTCGAAAACTCATTGACATTTATCAAAATTCAAGCTATTGGTAAATTAGGTATCAACTTTTTAAGTTTACGAAAGTCAATTTACATTCAGTGACTTTTCAACGTAGTTGGTTAACAATTCAGTGATTTTAAGTGACAATTTTCAAAGAAGTATGTTGTCGCGGCAGGGTTATGCAGGACGGGGTCGAAGCGTCAGCCTCGCGCGCGCAAGCCGTCGAACGCGTCGAGCGTTGGTGACGGCGCGGGCGTCGGCGTCGGCCTAAAACGATCGCCTTCCTCGCTGTCAACCGCCTCCACAGTATCCAGCTACCGGCCTCGCTCCTCACCCGCCGGCCTTTACAGCTACACTGGCGGTAAGATTAACTTCTTTATGCTACGGGTGTTTCCGCAACTTGACGTCCATATGGCGCTTGTTTTGCGTGAGTTGCCAGATTCACTCCAGTCAGCCCAGCTTCGTCAGGAACGCTTAACAGCTGTAAGATAAATTCAAACGCCAACTCTGCCCACTTAATCGTATGCGCGCGTACAAGCGGTTAAGCGTTATTGACCGCACAGGCGCTGGCCTCTAGCGGTCCGCTTTGCGCTATCTATGGCCTTCACCGTCTTCAGCTACCGACCTCACTCCTCATGCTCATACCTTTCTACAACTACACTGATGGTAAGACCAGAAACATAGTGCACCGAGCGTTAGTGCTGACGCCAGCGTAAACCTTAAGCGATTGCCCTACTCGATGTCAACCGCCTCCACGGTATCCTACCAGACTCGTTCCCGACCCGCCAGCCTATACAGTAACACTGGCGGTAAGACCTATAGACATATATAGACATAGCCCGTCCGAACCGCTATGCGTCCAGACAGACGTGAGTCGCCGCTATGGTGCTCAAATTCTGGAATCGAATGCTGATAAACAACCAAGTTTACTTGCTATGTATAAAGTGAAGTGGTCTTGCACAAATATCATCTCGAAGTGAGCGCGATGTGTATGGCCTTAACATTCTTGTTATTGATACCGCCCATGAATATGGACCTTGTTGTAATCAGGCTCAGTCTGTCCGATTCGCTGAGCGTTCGGGGTGAACGTGACCCGAGTGATGGACCCCGTGGGCTCCCGGAGGCTCTGTGCCACCCACCGCCATCGCAATCGAATAGAGGCAAACGTGTGTGTTATTAGATCTTGTTATCAGTTACATCCGGTCCGATCCACTCAGCATCTAGAATAAGCGTGACCCGGGTAACGGATCGGGTTGATGATGAAGACAGCGATGGTAGTGATTGAATGCTGATAAATGACAAGGTTTACCTTAAAACGAAGTTTAGTTTCCTTGCACAAATATCATCGCAAAGTGTGCGCGATGTGTATGACTCTATCATTATTGTTTTACACCTCCCATGAATATATATCTTGTTGTTATCAGGCACAGCCCGGCCAAACAGTTCAGCGTCTGCAACCAGTGTGACGGATCGTGTGGGTGACAGAGACACCGCGATGGTAGTCAAAATTTCACAATCGAATCGCTCATCACTCATCCCACGGATCATCCCATGGGATCCGTCACTCGGGTCACGCTCATCTCCGACGCTGAGATCGGACGGGCTGTGCCTGATAACAACAACATCCATGTTGATGGGAGGTATCAATAACAATAATGCTAGGGCCGTACACATCGCGCACATGATATCTATGCAAGAGAACTACGCTATAAGGTAAACTTGGTCGTTTATCAGACAAATAGGCTGTGTACGGCCCCAGCATTATTGTTACCTCCCATGAACATGGATGTTGTTGTTATCAGGCACAGGCCGTCGGATCCGCTCAGCGTCGGATATGAGGGTGACCCAAGTGACATATCCCGTGGGTGGCGGCACCGTGGAGGCAGTGGGCGGCACCGAGTACTCTCGGAGGCTCAGTGCCACCCACCGCCATCGCCATCGCTATGGCAATCGAATAGGGGGAAATGTGGGTGTTATTAGGTTTTGTAGGACAATCCCGTGGGTCCACGGACCCTTCATCCTTGTTGGTTATCAGTTATATCCCGTCAGATCCGCTCAGCGTCTAGAATGAGCGTGTACCCGGGTGACGATTCATATGGGTGACGGAGACGCAGCGATGGTAGTAAAATTTTGCAATTGAATGCGGACAAATGACCGCGTTTACCTTATAGCATTATTCTGTCGTTTAATTGAAGAATGTAGTAAGTACTCCGACATGATTTGAGAAAAATCTCAAAATACTATCGGAGCTCTTACTGCTTTCTTCACTGGGACGGCAGCATTGTTATTGATACATCCCATGAATATGTATCTTGTTGTTATCAGGCACAGCCCGTCCGATCCGCTCAGCGTCCGGGATGAGCGTGACCCGGGTGACGGATCCCGTGGGCGGCGGCACCGCAGTGGCGGTGGGCGGCACCGAGTACTCCCGGAGACGGGCTGCCTCCGCGCCCGCCACGCCTGCACTTTCACCCGCGTCATCACCGCCAGGATCGCCGCACAGAGGTTCACATAGGTACGGCCTCACTTAGATTCTGCAACATTTTATTATGTGACAAGGTAAGTCACCGGAGGCGGCGTAAGGCGTGGGCGACGTGGGCCAGCGCCTACGGCCTCGTGGTACAAGGGACCTCGCGCCTGAAAAATTTTTATGCATTGCTTAAAAGCGAATTTCTTTTTTTTTATTATTTTATAAAATCCGTCTTCAGGTCGCCACAGAACAGGGCCTCGCGAAATATGTCTTGCCCACATCAAATTTAGGTCTTGCCCCGCCACTGGTGGCCACCATAGATTATAGACGTTTGTGATACATACCAAAGCTATAATTCGTGGCGTTGTCTACCCTGATCCTATTCCCTACCCCATGGAACCACATAGGTACCTACAACCTAAGTTTCGATTGCTCGAATCATTCACAATTGTCAAATATCCCTCCGTGCTTGGGAAGGCACGTTATGCCGTTGGTCCTGACTGCATCTGAAACCATAAGCACCCACGCTAAGCCCACGTGGTGGGTCATGGCCCAATATCCCTTTTCCATCCATAGGGAAGCCTGCCTGAGAATTGCTGCAGCACAAAAACTTAGTCGTACGAAATCAGTGCGCGGCAATACTCCTGATATCGCAATCGCAAGTATACAAAGCTATGCTTGCGATTGCGATATCAACTGCGATGAAAACGAAAAATCAGGTAAGGCAGCTTTTTTAATGTCAAAAGGGTTGACTCCTTTTGACATTAAAATCCTCTGTACATTTTCAGTGTTTTCATTGTCATCTTTGGGTCAGTTTTATCAAAGTTATAAAAAAACTCTTTGTTAAACAAATGAACTTAGTTTTCTTCTCATGTTGTTCAACAATAACATTATTTTGCATAATTTCTACAATTTTATTGCATTCTAATATTTTTTTTCTTACGGCACAATAGGAGTAGCTGTGCATGGATAATACCTTCAGTGAAGTGGGACCCTGAGTCCCTGTAATCAATCATCCAGACACACTTGACTCTCACTTCACGTCACTGACGGTGCGCACAATTAAGGTTCTTTCATTTCACATTTCCAGCTTTATGTATTTTATAAAAATAATGTCTCTGTTCGTGATTATTCGTAATATAATTGTTTTTGTTCTGTTCTTGTTTGCTTGTATTAAAATATTTAATGCATTTCTAAGGATTAATGTTTTTTAAATAAGATGCTAGGTACCTCATATTACAGAAAAAAATAGCTTTCAAAGTATAAGGATATATTTCAAATATTTATCTCAAACTAAATATGAAAATAAAAATTTCAATTTATAACCTTTGCTTTAGCTGGCTATTTCATTGTTTGCGCTTATCAAGCGGATGTAGCGAGCGTTCGATGAAACTCAAATCGGAAGGTGTCTTTCTCTAGACTAGATAGCCATCAGAATAGCATCTGGCATCTACTGTCACTTGAATTTACTTCTTGTCGTCGTGTTTCTAAAATGAATATAAATATACATACACTATTTAAAAACACATTCATTTACAAAAATATTTTTGATAGTATTAACAACTTACCAATTTGGTAAAAGGTATACATTCTATGGCTATGAGAGAAACCATAAAGCAGATAATAAATAGCGTAATATGTTTAACAAATGATGTTCATGGCCCAAAAAAATTGCAGCTGATACAAATGGGTTAACAAGCGTATATCCTGCCTGTTGGTGCAACCAGCATAGCCTATTATGGACGCTTGAGATACTAAAAATATCACTCACACCGTTGCCTGACCCAATTCACCTACCCGGTGGAGTCCTGGTACCTAACTAACCCACCGTTCAAAACACAACACCACCAATAGGTAGTCTTATTTTACTGTGATCATCTGTAAAGGTTCATCCAGACACGGGCGGGGCGCGCTCGGTTTGTCGCCCTGTGTGACGTATTACATAATAACTGATACATTACAACTGTTTATATCACGCCAGCGTCGCGTTGCAGTCCCGCCCCGCTCGCTGTCTGGCTGAACCTTAAGGGAGAGGTTACTTCCCCAGGCGGGCGCCCCAATTCGAGCGCAAATCCGCTATGCCCTACCTCTCTTATACAGGTTGTAAAAAATCCTTTAACGAAGTTGAAGGCCACGTATTTTCCACATCATGACGATCATTTTCTTTCTTCTGGACCATACCTGGAAAATTTATGGTTATGGAGATATTAAAGGTGAAAGTCACATTATTTTTTCAAGATTTTTACATTAGTATTTCCAAAACGTTAGAACGTAACGTTTAGAAACTTTTTTATCGACGCACTTACACACCCGCACACACATACCTACAGGCACATTCTTTGCGTAGCGCCACAGTAGCGTGCCGCTCTTTACATTTAACTTAAAAATACAAATGATTCCCACGTATATTTTGTAATATTACTTGTTTGGGTGTACATAATGCGTAGTTTTAGTCTTTGTTATAGGATTTTTTACACCCTGTATTTGATAATTTGTGTTTAAGAATTGCATGTACTTACTTACCTTTTTCCGCTTTTCTTTTTCAGGTCTCGAGCGTTACAAAGATGTTCTTAGCAGGAGCCTAGCTCACGCGCCTCAAGAATCCGCCCATCTTCCCGACCAGCCACCTAGCATCGGTCTATCTTTCGCTTGTACATATATTGCCCCAGTTACGTACATTTACATGCAGATTTTGTTATCACAAGTTTATCGCATCAGCTATTTGTTACTGGACAACGCTTCGACTTTACACTGAAAATTTTCAATGTTGCAAGCGCAAATTTTGCTGTAAAGGTTCGATGGAAATTATATTGAGATGTTAAGAAAAAAGTTAATATTTATAGCGAAAAGCTTTTGTATGGTGTAGGTACCTACCTAAGAAACGTTTTTGAAGGGGCAGATTTGTGATATACTTAGGTGTTGTTAAAAGTATATATATGCGAATCTTGTAAAATGGTTTATAAGTTTTAAAGACGGTGTTCTTTTTTACAAATGCGTGCTATTCTAAGTATGGGATTAAGAATTCCAGAAGACAGTGGTCAGATTTTGCAACGATATCGTCGATGTTAGCTTAAAGATAAATAGTTACAAAAGTGAAGGTCGAGGAAATTGAATGGCTTTAGAATGTTATAAATTATAATCGCTTGAGTGAGTTCAAGGTTTTACTTAAATTGTTTCAAAACACTTTAATTTCTGACATTGAAATTACATTAAATCGCACAGGAAATATCAGATTTAATTTTACTGTATAATATGCATTTAATATACTTATGTCGATACCAAGGCTACACGTTAATACAACGTTTAATGTATGAAAGATGTATATTTGGTGGTGCTTAGAGTGGAGTCAAGAAAACTGTTGAATGATAAAAGTTAAATTATCGTTGTTACCAAGAAATGTCTTATTGCATAATTATAAAATTGTTAAAGAGATTATAAAACGAAGGAACTGTGAGATAACAATGGATCATAATCAGACTACCAAAGAACATATTGTAGACTAAGGTGGTTGGTCTTGATATAGGTTAGAACTACAATTTTAAAAATACTTGTTTTTTTTTAAATAATCTCCTTCGAATGAACAATCAAAACATTACAAAAACATCGCAACATTTTATCTATAAAATTCACAATGAATTATTTCACCCTTAACTAGAGATGGAATCTCGAAACGTTGTATGTTCCAAATTTAACTGTAGGCAATAATTTGGGAATCCGAACCGTCCATTAATGAAACAAGCTGTAGGAGTCGAAATCGTAATGAGAGAAGCCTATATCCACAATAAAAAATAAATGATGTTGAGATCCATTCAACCGTTTATCTAAGTATTACTGAAATAATAAATGATATTAACGGAATTAAAGATATGTGTTTTTTGAATCAGAATCCATTGACATTGACCTATAGTTGTATAAACACGTTCCTTCGTTTTCCTTCTCTAATAAAAAAATGGTACAACGTGAATAAATCCCTTCGGCCGCCACCGTAACCGTGTTTCGTAATCAGTTGCAGTCGAAGACTTATTCGTCCTTGGTCGTAACCCGTTGCGATCGAAGAAGTTTTGTTCCTAGTTCGAAACCAGTTACGAACGAAGATTTTTTTCCTTGATGGTAGATATATTTATCTAAATTGTAGGGATTTTCAGTCAGTTTTATTTATCTGAATTGTCGGGTATTTCAGTGCCATTACCTTCTGCTTAAAGTTGGATCGGTCGCGCCTCAGATTACAGAACAAAAGGCGATGGAATGCATGGAATACACAAGTGAAAATCAAAAGTAAAGACTTTTTGGCTTTGTGAATATTTTATACAATGTTTGAACAAGGCCGCAGTCTTGATAAAAACTTTATTTTCACGAAAGTTATTCACAACACGTTGCATTGTAGTGTACTGACGTGAGTTTGTGTTCGCTTTTAGACTTTAAAGTTGATTTGGTGGCCGCACTTGCGTGTTGATTGTATTCTGTCATTAGCTTGATATTTTCGGTTTTTCAAAGGAAATTATCTAGAGACAGATATATAAATTTGTGCATTGAAAGGTTTTACCTGATAAAAAGGGACCCCCTTCATCAGAATGCAGTGCCACGTACAGTTACTCAGTTTTTAATAAAATATTCTATTTATTCACTTTGGGCTATGGTCATTTAGGGCGCTTTTCTTCATAACTCAGCATACCGCAGAAACACGCGGGGACATGGGTAATTCAAAACTTCATTCAAATATCGTTTCGCAACTGGTGTCTTCCATTGGTACTGGTTTCGAACTAGGAATAAAACACCTTCGATCGTAACTGGTTACGAACAGATTTCACTGGTGGATATGGTTTCGAACTAGGAAGAAAACATCCTTGATCCTAACAGGTTACGACCAAATACAAATAAATTTTATCGCAACTGATTACGAAATACAGTTACGATGGCGGTTGAAGGGGAATAATAAATATTAGAAGAAAATAAAATATATATTAACGGTAAAAATGTAGATCTAGATGGTTGCGGTCTGGCTGGTTCAGAGCCGTGTAGAATTTCTACTTTCGATATTATGTAGCTTCAATTTTCATAATTATAAAGAGTAGCGTTTTGCGAATCTTTTAACTATAAATTATAATTTATGAACTGTAGAAAGTAGAACGCAAGAGTCTCTGTATTTAATGACATCAAATTGGAAAATGGTAGTTATTGTTGATGAATATTCCTTTGTTAAGAGAGAATCTTTGTGGGAATACTTCCAAAGTAGTTTCTTTCCCATTCTAGTAAATTTACTCACTTCACACTTGTAGTATTTCTATTTATACCCACTTTTAAAATAATCACAACAACGAGAGATGAACGGAAAATTGTATGAAGAAAGCTATTATTATGCTTGTCAATACCCAATGACTAGATCTGTAGTTATACACCAGGGCTGGTTCTTGGATGTTCAGACACACCATGTAAAAAAGTTTTGCTCAAAGTGAAAATTTGTATCCGTTCCTAGCACTGCGCAATTTTGTTTTAGCGCCTTTTTTCTAAGTACTGATACTGGCTGAAATTGTTAAAATAACTGTCCTACCTACTTTTAAAAAAAAACTAGTCTTCAGGACGGCACAGCAGCATATTATGTCTTTGCTATTATTCTACTTAGGAAAAATAAAGGACAATCGCTTAGTTTGGCTATAAAATTAAATTAATAATTATTATAGCTGGACCAGAAAAAAAATATTGCTTGGGCGCCTTATATCCATTTTGGTGCTTTGATAAAGTTGTATTGACAACTATTTCCATCCTATATTCTACATTAAATATGGCGAGGTATTTTTATTTTTCTGGTGCGGCTATACATACTAAAATCAGGCAAAATGTTTTTAAGTCCGTTTATTTTATGAAATTGCTTTATACATTATGAACCCAACTATTCACAATATAAAAGGACTTAACTTTTAAAATTTTGATCTAAAACAGTAAGGTACACCTACTTCACAAGCGATCGGGAACGAAGATTTAAAAATTGATTTAACATAGCTATATTTCGTGCTCGATAATTCTTATTAGTAGTCAAAAATTATTTGTACGAAAAAAAATCTTATTTTCGTTCGTTTGTGAGTAGATAAATCAGCTTTAACACCATCCACTGTAATTTTTACTCCGAGGTTGAATAATGTTGTGAAATTTTGCATATCTCCAATGTCTTTTTCTCACTTTTATCGAGGCTTAGCCTTATTAGAAATGTGATTTAGATGCCTTTAGCACGGTGGCATTCCGAGTAGTAGGCAATAAGTAGTTACAAATGTTTCGATGAGTCGATGGCTACTCTCGCACAAAGTTTAATGCATTATGTTATATCATAGTCTTAGGCCCGTATTACAGAATGACATCTAAGTGTTGATCTTTACTTGAGTAGCGTAAGAGAGGAATGCCCTTATGTGCTATATATAGCGATATCTCTTTCTGACTATGCTCAAGACTAGATTCATTACTGAGAATCATTCTATAATACGGGTCTTAGTCATTCCTCTTTTCAAGCTTTTTGAAACCGAATCATGAGCATTTCTTATACGGAAAAAAAACGTGATAAATTATTTTGTCGTATGTACCGTCGCGGTCAGAAAATGTTTACCACCTTCAGGATCATAATTGCATGCACACATTTAGGTCACAAGTTCTAAATGTCTATTTCATAATAATTTGATTGACCAATGATTATCTTTTTTGTAATGATATGACAATCAATCGCTCTAGGCGATGGACTGACTACTATCAAGGTTTGATATATACCTATATTTTTTTAAATACTTCGCCTCACACTAGTATTTCCTTCTGTATCGTAGGTGTAATTACAAACACACATCACACTCACATTGCACATACGCCCAGACCAGGACAAATTTCTGTAGGCCATACAAAATATCTGTGCCGTAAGGGAATCAAACCCGCGACCCGTTGCGCAGTAGGCCTCTGCACTTGCCGTGACGTCAAACAAATACAGAAAACCATTGAAAAAACTAATATTTTAGTTTTTTAACTAGGAATATGAAGAAATAATAAAATAGAAACTTCAAAAATCTTTATTTAATATCTAGTATAACCTCCCTCTGCAGCTATGACGGCACGTAGTCTATCTCGCATTGATGCAACAAGATGCACGCATAGATCGGTGCCTCTAATATCATCCCATACTCGAGCACAGTGTGATCTAAGATCATGAGGGTTCCTTTCATTTTGACAGTCCCAGCATTAAACCATAAGCCCCGATAATTTTTTAATAGGGTTTAAATCAGCAGACCGAGTGGGCCATTGAATGGGACAAATGTCACGGTGCAAGTTGAACCACGCTATAGTATCACGGGCCATGTGTATCCGTGCATTATCTTGAACATAAGTAATGGGCGGGAATTCTGTTGTAGCATATACTACGCGCACAGTAGGCAGCATCACTTCTGCCAAAAGCGACACATAATTAATGGCAGTAGCCCTATTCTCTAACGACGCCAGTTCTCCGACGCCGTCGAGGCTCTTCCACCCCCATAAGTTTACTGTTATGCGACCTGACTCGTTTTAAGGCACGATATGAGCTTCATCATACCGAATTCGATTATAGCGCCATAAAGTAAATCTTCCGATTTGGCTTGATTTAAAGCTTTTCTCATCGGTAAATATAGTATTCGACCAAGCAAAATCATGATGTTGTCGAGCAAAGTTAAGCCGCGCTGTTTTGTGGTGAGGTTTCATCCCCACTTTAATGGCATGGTGTCTGTAGTGTAGTCCAGCACTGTGCAAAGCTCGTCGGATCGTCCGAACACCCACATCATATAAAGCAGCTAAATAACTAGTGTGAAACCGTTGTCTTCATAACGACGAATCATTTCTGTTATTTGCGCGGGGGTTAGAATTGGTCGTCGTCCTGAATTATTTCTATGATCTTTTAAGTGCCCTTCTTCGCCGTGACGCCGGATCCAAAACCTCACAGTGGATCGCGATATATTCAGTTCTCGTGATATATCACTAATACTTGTCCATCTTCGAAGAGAAATATTATTTCAGCCCTTTGCTCCAGGGTCAAACTTGTCATTTTATTTCGTTATGAAAATATTATTCGTAAAATTTTGATCTTGTCCAAACAATGTTCGCACATTTTTTTTATAAATGTCATTTCAACAAATAAAGAAATGAGTTTCAATATCAAAAAGTAATATATAATTCTTTTTGTTATTCTCGATGCGTCATATTGCATAATAACTTTTGAAAGGTAATAAGTTACTTGATATGGCATTATAGACTTTAGTGAAAAAAGTGTGACATAGACTAATTAGAAAACTGGTAAACATTTTCTGACTGCCACCGTACATAAAGCAGTATATACTACTATAAATCTGATTTACGATTGACCAGCCTACCTCTTCCCGACGTTAAATTCTAAACTTAAATCTATCGCGGCTCACATAATCACCTACATACAGAGTTCAGCTCATAGATGAACCTAGGTTGAGTACCTCATTTTGCCCCGATCTCCCCTATATTAAACTCTGAGCTCATTTATAGAACCTGCGTGTAAAGTTGATTATTTTACCGCAATGTTTCTGTTGCTATCGACTCTCGAAATCAGATATAAAATAATTCAAAATGC